TTCTTAAGTGTGATTTTCTTTCGAGCATTTATCGCGGTGAAGGAATCGTTCTCGGGATGATCGACTAAATTTTCAGATTCGCCAGCGCTACCGAAGCCTCCCTCGAGGATTAGTTGCTCGGAGAATCGCCTTCTCATCATCTTAGGCGTAATTGGAATGGCACTATTTTTACGGGCAGTAAACGCAGTATCAGCGTTCGCTTCAGCATTTTTTCTGCTGGTGGTGAAACGCTCGAGGGATTTTCCAGCGATTTCGGATTCCTTGGGGTTATCCTTTGGTGCCTTAATATCGGCTGGCGACTTATTATTATCCCGATGAAATGCGGCGAGTGATCGCGTCGCGCGGGCTGTTGTCGTCTTTAAAGACGCTCGCGGGCGACTTTTGCCCGCGATAATTGGTTCCGCGATACTCATGGCACCGGTCAAGCTTTCGCAATTTCTGATGCTATCTCCGGCGAGCGATTGCTCGGAGAGTCGGCGATTATCTGCGCGATCGATCTTGCAGTTACGTAGCGAGTGCACTTGATCCAAGTATCGTCGATGCGGTATCGGACCAGCGGCGATCGAATGCCGACGTTGAATCGTCATCGTCATCATCCCGTTGTCCCCGGCGTCGTTGCAGAAGGGATAAAGGCTCCCGGCCGAGTTCCTGCCGGAGGACGGCGGCAGAAAGCTCTGGCAGGTCGACACAGAGTTACCGGAGTCCTTCCGCTTCGCGGAATCAACCCCTTGAAGAAGGAGACCGGGCTCTCTGGCGAAGCAGGAGGAAGTGGACGAAATCTTCCGGTGTTGGCTCGGGCACCGACACGCGGAGAATTGCTCCACGAAGCAACGACATCGCATCATACGCGATAGGATCTCCGGATGCGCCAGCAGCAACTCCGGGATCTCGATCTCGCTCCATGATTTCGCGATGTCGCCGGAAGACTCCCTCGTCCGCCTCCAGCCGAGGCTCTCGCTCGACCAGCCGCTCTCGGATTCCGGATTAGAGATTTTTCGCGTGCATTCGCGTCGCCGACAGCAGCGTGCCCGTGTTGCACCGTCACCGCGAGGGTAAGATTCTTCTTCCTTCGGTTCATCGTCATCGTCCTCGTCGAGCGAATTCTCCTCGCTCATAGCCGCGTTGTAAGAACGGCGACGTTTGCGATAAGCAGCTTCCTCGCACGATGAGTTAACCGAGTCGGCTCGTTCACCCATTTCTCAGACTTGCAATCGGCACGAATGTCTCAACTAAATTGGATCTTCGACGTCATGAGTCGTTGCATTATTCTTCGCGATAGTTAAAAGGATTGTGCACAATGTAATATTTATCACAAAGTTAAATTTCTTTTTTTATAGAAAGAAAATAGTTGTAGGTGGTTATTTATCTTCTATTCTCATGTTTCTAAAATGAAGTTAAATTTATATGTTTATTGATATTCTACAGTAGACACATGCCACTTACACCATTTTCACTATTAGGACTGAAAAGTATTTGTTCAATTCAATAGATTGACATTTTTCACTTAAATCTTGTTATTTAATCGGATTTTTACTTTGGTAGTTGAAATTATTAGATTTTACAAAAGTAAAGAGAGCCAAAAACTAGGTATTAAGTTACACTGGTGGGTTCCCAACGAAGACTGTCGTTCATCGTGCGAAATCCATTGTTGTTTCGCGCATACATCGTAATGCTTCGCACGCGTGAAGCTGAACGTGAGTCGCGAAACGCGTTCCGACTGTCGATACTTTGTCCTAATTTTTCTAGCACGTACATTTTACGATGTTACACGGTCGAATTCACTGTTTGTATGCATTAATTCTAAAGAGGATTAACGCGAAAAATGTGTCTCTATCTTTTCGAATAACTAACAATGGAAAACGGAAAAAATGCAAAAAATGAGCTATTATGGAATATTTTTACTGTTAAAAATTAATATCAGTCAACGAAGTTTTGATCCTTCTTTGTCTGTCGATTTTTATTGTTTTTTTTTTAATTTATTTTAAAAATTATTTCTCATGAACTTTTGATATTTTTCGCCTTTTTCATTATTTTAAATTTAATCAAAATAATCCAATTCTTTCTACATGTATGTAATCGCATTTCGCGTAAATTTGCACTGAGAAAAAATTTATGTTTATCGGAAATTAATAAAGAGAAAGATACTGCAGAATTATGCAAATTCTGGAAATTCCGAATATAATAAATTATACAATTTCTACAAATTCCGTATATAATAAATTATACAAATTCTGCAAATTTCAAATATAATTTACAATTTGTAAAAACTTGGCTTGTAAAAAACCTTCCCAAACCAAGAAAATCAATATATATCTAAAGAGTTAGTTGAAAATAACTTTGACCCAAACTTTGTGTGACTACAATTGTGGAGTTTCTTTAGAAATGGTAAACATTATTTCCTTCTGACGTAACTTAGCAGCAGATTTCATTTGAGGCAAGATTTTCATTATTGTATCGCTAATGAAGTTTTATATAAATTTGTATTTCAAAAAGTTTGCATATTTTATAATTTATCTTAAAATTATCATCTTTTTTATAATGTATCTTAAAAATCATTACTGACAAAATTTTTAATATTTGTGTTCCACACACAATTCATTCATATGAAATGGATTTTTTGATTAGTTTTTTTTAACAAACATTTTTCTATCGTAAAAATATTAAAGATTAAAGAATATTAAAGATATTACGCACTTATTTACTAATAATTCATTTAAATTATATAATTATTTATATATAAATTAATGACAGCAATATTTTTTTCTCTTTTAATATGTTGATTTTTTATAAAGAGAACATATAAGAGATATAATAGGAGGGAATAATATAATAGGAAACAAAATAAAATTTGTTAGAACTTAGATTATTAACCCTTTGCACTTCCAGCTAATTTTATTATATGACCTACCAGCAGCTCCAACGCATTTTTGTGGCGCCTTTGGTGAACATAAAAAATGTTATTATATTAAATAAAAAAAAATCTACTACTTTACTATCGTCTTTGCTTCTCTCAGCATCATAAATAATTTCATTATAATCGATTGAAAAATAAATATAAATAATTGCATTATACTTTCATTATAATAATATACATGTCGCCGTAACGGCGCCTCTGGAGTTGTGGTACAAAATATGTATGTCGCCGTAACGGCGCCTTGAATGTAAAGGGTTAAAAAGTAATCTTTATTATCATTATTTGATTGTGCAAGAGCCAACAGGAAGTTATAGTTGTATATAGAAAATAAATAATCAATATTTTATTTTAAAAATGCAATTTTATATATTTTATATATTTACTTTTATTAAAAATTATGAAGCGCAGATGACAGATATGATAAATAGAGTTCGCATCGAAGATTTGGGTTTTCCATCTCTCTTCAATTCGTTTTGTGACCATCATATCTCTGGATATCGCGAACACATTATTTATGACATGACCAGATTTGAGAGGGGTGAAATGTATGTATAGTTACATAAAACGTGATCAAATTCCACAAGAGACATATCTAGGTCAAAATTAGGATAATATCATCGAAATTTATCTTCTATAGTGGCAAATAGTATGCGTTATTATTTTTCAACGAAATGAACGTTACGTAAATTAATATTATATATATATACGAAACATAAAATACACATTTATTTCACACGATGCAGTAAAAACATCAAGTAAATAAACAGCACGCGATTGGAGCCATTATATACATATTCACATACATATAACACATTATCAGGATGCAAATCCGGAATAATTTGTATACTATCCTTCCAATTAAAATTCTTTTAAAAACAGAGATGCGTAAAATACAATGTAGAATTTTATTTCTACGCTATGCACGTATCCTGTAATATTCGGCAGCTATTTCAAGTGGCACGATCTGCTGTCATTCTTTGAAAGGTAATTATTTTTTACGAACAATTAGTAATTATCAGTTTATTCGATTAATTAATTTCATGAAAAGTTGTAATACATATAATATTATATATGTACTTTGTATAATTTATTTTATAATTAAGAATTTTATTTTTTATATGGCGATCAAAAAGAATCGAGATATAAGCACGCTTGTTTTTTCAATGAGTACATCTTGACAGTGAGAGGGAGAGCTTAGAGCTTCCGGAAGTTTAATCCTAAAAGAGCTGTTAATGATTTTTTAATCCCCTCGTTTTATCAATATTTTTTTTCGCAGAATATCGTGAAAAATAATAAATATCGCGCGTTTAAGCACGATAATGCCGAGAAAAGTGTCGCGTGTTTAAGTGCGAGAGTGCCGGGAAAAGTGTCGCGCGTCTATTTTATAATGCTGCATAATAAAATGTATGCACTTTTCTCAAGTGAATCAAGTAAGAGCTGTACGAACTTTTTGCGAATAAGCGCAGCGTACGAATTAACAGAGCTTGACAATGTAAAGGGAGGAAGAGGCATCGGAGAGCAATTTATTTATATATTTTTTTTATTAATTCGTGCATCCGTCTATTCGCGTTTCATTTGATTCATTTATTTAGATGTTTTTAACAGGAATTGGAAAAAAAGATTTATATATAGTATACTAAAAGTTTGTAAAAAAGATATTTTTTAATTAATTTATAATTAAAAATATATATTATACACATAATATATATCTTTTTCATTAATATATTTCATTAATATATTTTTTTATGGAATTGGCATATTATAGTTTGTTTTCAAATGTGGTGTATCCTGGTTTTTTAAAAATTATGACAAATCGAAATTTCCATAAACGCATTTGCGTTCCATTTGCATTTGTAATTCATAATTAACACATTGAGTACATGTACACATGTATGTATCATAATATTTACTGATTATTAATGCAAAAGGATAGACATAATCTCTTATATATAGACAGGAGGGAGATTAAAATGGTTAAAATATATCTGCTACAAACTGCATTTTTATTTATCGCAAGTTTTTGGACCTTTATCAAATTAATTAATATTCAATCAATAATATGAATTAAGAATATTTGCTCTCTTACCTGCGCTGTGCAGGGGAGGATGCCGAAATTTAACCTCGGCGGTGATGTACCAGCATCCGGGCGCGGCGAGTTGCAGACCCACCCCGATAAAATGCACCAGCACCGAGCACGTGACAATGACGTATCCCCAACCTCCCTCGGGATAATAATGTCGCCCGAGAGTGGCTTCCTTTCTAAAGTCTATAGCCGGTCGTGCCGGACACAAGCCGTCATTTTTCCCCTGTCCGTCCAATTTGTTTGCCTCCCCGAGTAAACATCCCGCGTACCAGATATCTTTATTTTGACGTTTGTCGTACGCCTCCTCTTTTTCGCGTTTGATCGAGTCATCGCGTCGAAAACTGTGCGCTTTCGCCGCCGTTGCGTTTCTTTTGGCGCGCGATGGGGAACGGAAAGGATCGATTTCCGAGCGGAGGAGACCTTCGGACGTGCACTTGGTACAGACGTGATGATCCCCCTTCGACGAAAATGAAACGGATGTCGCATAGTCGTCGTAGTCGTCCACCTTGATGTGCGGCGGTGATGACATAGAGTGCCTCGGTGAGAATGCAGGCGAAACGGCAATCTGACACTCCTTCCTCACCCCATCTGTTTCTCGTGTTTGTGAATTATCCCCTTGCGCGACGCTGGCTGCGTGCAGTCTCTCATTTGCAACGTTTACTATTACATCAAAGGCGTTAGTCTCGAACGAGGGGGATTTGTTTGTTAGTTGGGCGACTGCATTTACGGGTTCTTCTGGGCCGTGTGAATTTTTCGGAAATAATTTTGCGACCTCCGCCATCGTATCCGTCGTTTTCGGCAGAGATGCTCTCGTAGAGTCTTCTGTTTTTTTCGCTTCGTCGTTTCTTGCGAAAAAATCCGACTTACATCTCGATTGATCTCGGAAAATATTTTCCTCCAACACAATGATACCGTTTTGATGAACTGCAGTAGTCTCGATCGACGAGAGACTGCGTGGCATGAAATATCGGTTGGTGCTTTTTCTCTTCTTCGTTTCGTTATTTACGTCAGAATTTTCAATGCTATTCGTAGGCTTTTTATTTATAGACGGTCTCCCGTCGACTAACTTTCGTTTTATCATCACGGATGCGATTCCTTTAGGGGCGCATCGATCTAGGAGAATGACTTCTTCCAGGTAATCGGATCGCGGTGCAGTTTGCTCCAATCGATATACCGTTTCGCGACTCGTTGGAATAATGGTAAAGGCACGAGATAAAGGATCGATGCGCATTTTCACCGTTTGCGCTGCTCGATCGGGCCAGGAACTGCTATGCATCATTTTATTCCGTCTGTTTGTCATCATTCTGGCTATGCCAAAAGTTTTTGCGGATCCTATTTAGGTCACTCAGACGAGAGCGGTGCAGCCAGTGTAAGTCTTTCCAGTAGAATTCTTTAGCAGACGAATAATTCTTTTTCTCGAGGATGTTAAGGATACGGCGATCCGCTCTATTAAACTGACGATTTGTATCCGTGTGAGAATAACAGGAATTATAGTCGATAAAAAGCTCCGCTGCAAGTGCTTAAGTATAATTTGCGAGTGAATCGCATTCTCGTTGCAGTATATGCGCAGGACACGCACATACGTATATTCTTCGTGGTAATTGTGCATGATTTATAGGTGTCACCGGCTTTTACGACGTTCACTATATACGTCCACTAAAATACGCTTAAAATAAACGAAAGTAGTTGTGCGCAAAAATATCAGATAAATTCTTTTGAGAGCCTTCGCGATTTTAGCTATGTTTCTTTGATCAAGACGGGAGTTAATTTTTCCAAAATGTCATGTTTGCGACGAAAAATATAATGGAGTAATATAAATCGTTGATTAAAAGTTTTCGCGAGTGACGCAAATATGAGCGTCGATGTGCGATTGCAAATTGCACGAGATAATGATCTGCAACATCCGATGATGGAGAGATAACTTCCGTGATGCAAGCGGTCCTGGCGAATGCGCCAGGATGACTGCTACGCACGTGCTGCTTATTCGCGATCAACCCTCTCTCTGTATCCTCTCTCTCTTTCTCTCTCCCTCTCGCTTCTGCGGATGGCAGGCGCATGCTTGCAGATGTCCAACGAATCGCATAAGCTGCGTTCTCGAGCTTTTTTGTGCTACAATGTAAGCACTCGTGTCGCGTGCCCATATGTTCTTATTAAAGTTTACGGCGCGCGCATAATTTAGTGGAATACTTCCTGTAAATTTGTAGATTTAGGTCTCGATCGAGTTCTTGATATCTGTATTTTACATCAGCTGTTCTGCTCACGCAAAAAAAAGATTTTCGAAGCCTTTCCTACGGAATAAAATGAATAACGAGTAACATGATATGAGCAACTTTCGTATAAATAATTCTGAAAGAATGATTATGAATATAAGAGTATTAAAAAATATAATTATTCTGTACAAAAAGTACAAACATGATTTCAGATAATTTTTTTCCAAATTTTAGTAAACTAATAATAATACTAATTAATCGAGGCACATTAGAGCGTTTAAATTTTTTCAAGAGATCGAATATATTATCAGTTTATTTTATATATTTTTATTTAATGCTTATAAAAATATTCCACGTAAATGTTTTACTTCTTTCCTAATATTTCAATAATTAGAATTTTAATCTGCATGAAAATGATTTTGAAAAATTACACATTTATAAATAGCACTTTTTATGAAGTCGCGTTGACTTGAAAACAAGCAGCAATTTTGACGTTGAAATTTGTCTCGCGACGAAAAATTGTAATGTCAGAGAATTCTCTAGTTTATTTCTACGAGTAGAATCGTCTTTTTTGCGATACATTACGCCTCATCTTCCCCTCGTCGTGCAGGACCTGACCTATCTTTACGACTTCTGTAATCTGTCGGTCGCAACAAACCGAGGAAGGAGTAGCTACATCTAAGACAGTGAGATACGACTTGGAATGGCGTCAGGAAGCAGGGTGTATTTCTCAATGGGAAAAAAGGCGGGGTAGATTTCGTGGGTCCGATCTTCCAAAGAAAATCAGCCCGGATTTTTCGGGTTGGAAAGAAAGAGGGAAAGAAGAGAAAATCGCGAAAATTCACCTGCGCGATACATTATCCGCGACGATGTCATTATCGACGAGGTCGTTGCTCAAGTAGGTCTGTTCGACGACGCGTGTCTGTAATAATATGACCCGGTCTCCTGTTCTCCTCGAGAAGTTGGCGCCTGATCGAGGATCAAGGATGTCGCAGCCGAGGAAGGCCAGGCGCTGGCATAGACATTATTACCGATGATATATGCGAATTCCACGTGGCGGTTTGCGGCTAAGAGAGATAAAGCTTCCGTCGTCGTCTCGTGTAATCGTCGACGTGACACGAGGCGAGAGACAGAGGGACGCGGGCGTCTGGTAAATACGGTTACGCCGATAAATTTAGGCGAGCACTCTGCGCGCGTGCGGCTTCTCCAAATGCGTTCTCCTCTGCAAGTTGGCGTGATTTATCGGCGCATTAATTCGGAATCGGTCTTAGCTCCGGTATCTGGCAGCGGACGATGAATATAAGCGACATCGGCGCGAATTTTATCGCGTGTTGTCAGACGGACGCCTTCGCGCGGACACTTTGTTAAAGTGGAGCACGGCTCCTCCTCGTCGCCGTCGTCGCGTAGCGCGAAAATATTCCGCGATCGAATTAACGCACCTCGCACGAGGCCCTCAATGGGAGCCCTCAAGCATGACTTAGCGAGATTACTTTGTCAGCTTGGAAAAAAACGTTGTAACTCAAACGCCACGGACATAAATCAGTAAAGAGATACGTCCGCTAACGTACACGTACTGAAGGATATAATGAGATTTATGATGGATTGGACGCTTCGCAGCTGAAATTTTAATTCCCGAAATTGTGCACGCTGCGGGAGCGTTAACTCGTTTATATCCTACATTCTCTGCGCTTTCGCAACATGTTGCGCCGATCGTAAAGTCCGCGTGATGCAATTGGATTTAACCATGAATATAGAGTAGCTACCTGCATAATTAAATTGTAAATATATTTCACAATATATGATTGTGGTTGTGTGAAAGCGGTTTTAAAAAATTTAACTCGATTGAACGATTTATCTTACTTATTCAAGATGTGCGATATTTTTAAAAGCTGCGATGAATAATAATTTTTTACGCAATATTAAACTTGTATAAAGATCACTAAAAGTAGGACTCGTATTCTCATTAAGGATGTTTTGTATGTACAATCCCAGCAAAAAGTAACTGAAAATCAATATTTACGAATATTGATTTTACACTTCTTTGCCAAAAGTTAAAAAAATAATATTCCACACAATTTCTCATGCTTCATTTCACTTCTTTGCCAAAAGTTAATAAATAATATTCCATACAATTTCTCATGCTCAAAATACACTTTTGGTGTATTTTGTACGATTTAATGAATCAATACACTTTTGGTGTATTTTGTACGATTTAATGAATCGATCTAAAAATTGTACTGAAGATTCTAAACACATGTAAGGACATTCTGTACAATTCTCATTCAAATTCTCAATATTTTGAAAATAGATACAAAACATCCTTAATCGAAATGATTAACTTTTGGCAGAGAATTTCGCCTTGTGACGGATACATGGCTAACTTGATTGAATTATATTTAATATCTTTTTAACCAGTTAGTACTTGTATAATATTATTTGACCAAATATTTTCTCTGTATCTAAACTTTTGCAAATTTTAAACAAATTCTGAATATTATTTCCATGTGTTTTTGTCATTTGAATCGACGTGGTTATACGTTTCCCATAACACATGTTAATTCGGTGCAAATTAAAATTCTTAAAACTTGTGAACGCTTTAGTGAATCGATTTAAAAATTGTACTGAAGATTCTAAACATATGTAAAGACATTCTGTGCAATTTTTAACTTCCCAATATTTTGAAAATAAGTACAAAACATCCTTAAACGAGCAAACCGGTTGTGTAAAAATCGCATGATCGATAAAAAGGTGAACGTATGTGGGTTAGACTTATTATTCAGATTGACGACGGTAATCTTGGACCGGTCGAAAACTCAGTAACTGAAGTACTTAACCTGTGCACGGTGTAATAGTCTGCGTGTAATCGATGGCGAGCTCTTTTACCGTGACCCGTTTCAATGATACGTTATCAGGTTGATCTGTCTCGCTTACACGGTACATTATTATATGGAACTGGAACGATCTTGATGTGTTGTACACTTGACGACACTTTGCTCGCAACCTGTCTTAAACGTCAGTAGCGCCGGTAGATTGGTATGTCTTGAAAAGTACGACGGGAAACTTTTACGTTTGTCCCTCGGGAAGTTTGCTAGTTCGGTTATTTCATTCCGAAGTAGCGACATTTGAAGAATCGACAAAACGACATCTCGAAAAGTGCCTGGCACGCCATGAACGTCCGCGAATAATTTCAGCGAAACTTACTTATCTTCTCGGGCGAAATCGCATTCCGCTTTTATCTCTGTGTCTCATAACCAAAGAATGCGGATACCACGATTTTCTTACGATCTATTAAAGCTAGCTGCAACCTTGATCGTGCCACGCTACGATACGCATCGTAAAACCTATCCGAGGGAATCGCGGTCGTATTTCGAACGATCGTATCTTTGTTTGCGCTTCCGCCGCAATTGGATTTATCCTCTGTCTCGAATCCTCACCCGCGGGAGAGCCACCTCAGCCCCGTTCCAGCGATTTTATCCGCGAAAAATATGCTTGACGACTGTCGCGTACAACGCGAATAATTCGTCCCGATGTATAATCGATCGATAAACGACCGCAATGGAAATCGCTTCGGAACAGTTTGAGGTGCAAAGCATTTGACCCGCGCGCGGAACGAGATCTTGAGCGTTAATGGATGACCACCGAACCGCCACTTTAGCGAGATTGAAACTGTCGTTCGCGCGTACCGAGCATGATGGATGCGGCGCTTTATAAAGTCGTCCGCTCCTCGTACGTACTCGTTAACTCGAGAGACTCTTACCTTTTCTATGCTTTCCCTCGCATAAATAGCGCGTTTGTTTTGTCTCATTTGATAAGTGTCAGATGGCCAGGGACTGGCGGTGCGAAACGCATTTCTAGCTGTTAAAGTCGTTCGAATCTTCGGAAGCGGGTTAAAGCTTCATGCCACGCCTTGAAAAGCCATCAACTTTGTTTTCGTCGTTTTAGGTTTTCAATTATTGCGTCCGACCATTACGATCTCATGCTTCAATCTTGAAGGCCCGTCAGACATGTCTTTGTGATTTTAAACACTTTCAATTATTCTACTCGGTCTGGTTTTAACCTGAAATTCTACAGTTGGAAAGCATGGAAAATGTTTTTTTTTTTTTTCTTTTTTTCATACCCCTTTTATTTTGCACGTTCTTCAATTATTGTGCTCAGTCGCAATAACTTTTTTTCAAGCCTGAAAAGCGTCAAGTTTTGTATTCTTTCTTTTATACGTTTTTCGATTATTTTGCCCGAGCGTTATAATTTTGAATACGTGCCGCACATTCGAAAAATGCCAGCGTTATTTTTTTGTTTTAAAACATTCTGCTGGTAGCTATGGTTTTTTTCCAGATCTGTTTTATTTTAAAAGGAATTGGAATATAAAGTATTTTTGTTGCACATCAGATTTTAATAATTGTGTAAAGAAAAATTTATATTTTGTATATTTTGTATTGTTCTCGAAACTTAGTGTCTAATATCTTACAAATTCTAAATTATTAAGAAACAATAAATATAAAAGAATCTTATAATTTCACAAAACAAAAGTTTTTTATGCCAGAATATATAGATGTTTGTAAAATTAATATGTTTATATTTTAAAATACGAAGATATAATATTATAATTAATTAATTTAAAAAATTACAGAACATATTTGCATTTTACTTATTTGATTAAAATATATTATTTATGCATTTGTTATTATTTATTATACATATAATTTTGGAAAAATGAAAAAAACTGTTTTCAAAAATAGCTTTAGCACCGAGAAAGATAGCACGCTATCATTCAATTACTTTGCTCGTTCGCATTCATTTTTAATCATTTTAATCATTTTTAATCATTTCAATGCATTGTTTTAACAAAAAGGAAACATAGAATATTGTTTCGAAGTCATTTAAAGTCATAGCGTGAGAGATTACTTGATATCTTGGGGATTACAGCAAGGAATTAACATGCATTTGCGAGATACAAGAGACGAGGGTTTCGAGAAGAGAGCTTTATTATTTACAATATTGTGCTACATTCTATGGCAAAGCGTCGAGATCAGCCAAAGTGATTCTCATCCTCGTCCTAAGCTCATCCGCGTAGCGTAGAGCGGACTCGTCGATCCTGATGTCTTCCATTAAAAGATCGCAGTCGAGATGTCGGCTGTCGCACGCTCGGTGATGATGCTTGAGCACGTCGTTTGAATCCAGATGATGAGCCCGCCTGGTGGACGGGTTCAGCGTGGCCAGAGCATAGTGATTGTGCACCGTTAACGCACGCCTCGTAGACACGAAGCTCTTTACCGAGTCACCTTCGGGCGAGATATTGGCCGTTCTCATGGTATCTAAATAATCCGGATGCTGCTCGACCGAGCGACGGGATTCCTCGTCGAGTCCCGTCGACCGATCGATCCGGCTTTTGTTTTGCAGCTCGGGGAAAAAGTACACATTTCGTACGGAATACGAGGCGAAATCCTTGAAGCTTCTACCGAGCTTTGCGCGCTCATCCAGCAACAGTTCGTGCCACGTTTTTCGGCGCGTAGGCACGATCGCCTCGTCGATATCGATCGGCACCACGAATTCCGATAGATGAACGTTCTCGTAGAAGCAGTGATTGTACGGGATTAACTCCATTCGCCTCTTCGTCCAGATATCCTCGCTGAAGAATCGCCTCCGGCTCGACTTCTCGTTCGGTAGATCACCCGGTAGATCGAGCGCGAACCATCGCACCACGTTTGATCGCTCGTACAGTCGCAGGACCTTCAGGACATTCTCGTGCACGTTGAACACGTAGAAGTAGAAGAGATTGGCGCCTAGAATGCGGTGCAGCTCGACGAAGGCTATGAGCTTGCGCGATATATCCTCGTCAAAGTCCAGCCCTTTGATGCATAAGGTAAACTCTCGGCGACCTTTCCGCTCGACGGACGTCATCTCGTCGTCGTATTCCGAGCGGGTTGTTAAACTATGACTAGCATTCTCGTAGCAGGGATTCGGACCCACGTAAATCCGGGACGGACGGCGAATCGAGTCGTCTAACGGCAATTGACAGTTCACGAGGATTCCAGTGTAACTGTCGGCCTTGCCGTCCCACTCGTTCAACCAGATCGTCGAGATGAGCGCCTCCACGCTTACCGATCGCGTCTCATCGTGCTCCCGATACCTGAAACATAATGAGATCAGGACGCTTAATTTATCGCTTGCCAGTGAAAGAGAACGCGGCTGATTAATGTCGAGGATCGTAGCGGAAAACACTTGCACGCATGGTGGAAGACATTTATATCGTCCAACCAGGCGTTTTAAACGAATATGCTCCGTTTCACGTCGCTGCTAACATTTGCATTGTTTCTCGCCACTCCTAATGCTGAGCCCGAAACAGGTCGGCTGCTTTTAAGCGGGATGAAAGTTTGACCCATTAGCAAAGTTTAATTTCACCGAAAACATATATTTTCAACATGCTTATTATTAGTTACAAGTACTAACTGGTTAAAAAGATATTAAATATAATTTAAGGAAGTTAGCCATGTATCTGTCACAAGGCGAAATTCTCTGGCAAAAGTTAATCATTTCGATTAAGGATGTTTTGTACCTATTTTCAAAATATTGAGAATTTCATGAAAATTATACAGAATGGCCTTACATATGTTTAGAATCTTTAATATAATTTTTAAATCGATTTACTAAAGCGTTCACAAGTTATAAGGATTTTAATTTGCATCGAATTAACATGTGTTCTTATGGAAAACATATAACCACGTCGAATCAAATGACACAAATACATGGAAATAATATTCAGAATTTGTTTAAAATTTGCAAAAGTTTAGATACAAAGGAAATATTTGGTCAAATAATATTATACAAGTACTAACTGGTTAAAAAGGTATTAAATATAATTTAAGGAAGTTAGCCATGTATCTGTCACAAGGCGAAATTCTCTGCCAAAAGTTAATCATTTCGATTAAGGATGTTTTGTACCTATTTTCAAAATATTGAGAATTTCATGAAAATTATACAGAATGGCCTTACATATGTTTAGAATCTTTAATATAATTTTTAAATCGATTTACTAAAGCGTTCACAAGTTATAAGGATTTTAATTTGCATCGAATTAACATGTGTTCTTATGGGAAACGTATAACCACGTCGATTCAAATGACACAAACACATGGAAATAATATTCAGAATTTGTTTAAAATTTGCAAAAGTTTAGATACAAAGGAAATATTTGGTCAAATAATATTATACAAGTACTAACTGGTTAAAAAGATATTAAATATAATTTAATGAAGTTAGCCATGTATCTGTCACAAGGCGTTTTCTGCCAAAAGTTAATCATTTCGATTAAGGATGTTTTGTACCTATTTTCAAAATATTGAGAATTTCATGAAAATTATACAGAATGGCCTTACATATGTTTAGAATCTTTAGTACAATTTTTAAATTGATTCACTAAAGCGTTCACAAGTTATAAGGATTTTAATTTGCATCGAATTAACATGTGTTCTTATGGGAAACGTATAACCACGTCGATTCAAATGACACAAACACATGGAAATAATATTCAGAATTTGTTTAAAATTTGCAAAAGTTTAGATACAAAGGAAATATTTGGTCAAATAATATTATACAAGTACTAACTGGTTAAAAAGATATTAAATATAATTTAAGGAAGTTAGCCATGTATCTGTCACAAGGCGAAATTTTCTGCCAAAAGTTAATCATTTCGATTAAGGATGTTTTGTACCTATTTTCAAAATATTGAGAATTTCATGAAAATTATACAGAATGGCCTTACATATGTTTAGAATCTTTAGTACAATTTTTAAATCGATTCACTAAAGCGTTCACAAGTTATAAGGATTTTAATTTGCATCGAATTAACATGTGTTCTTATGGGAAACATATAACCACGTCGATTCAAATGACACAAATACATGGAAATAATATTCAGAATTTGTTTAAAATTTGCAAAAGTTTAGATACAAAGGAAATATTTGGTCAAATAATATTATACAAGTACGAACTGGTTAAAAAGATATTAAATATAATTTAATGAAGTTAGCCATGTATCCGTCACAAGGCGAAATTCTCTGCCAAAAATTAATCATTTCGATTAACAAAATTCGGAATATTTCAGTAAAAACGCAATAAATATTAAAAAATACATCTCTGCATTGCAGTTAAAATCAAATTGTAATATTGCACACAATTTCTCATACTCGAAATACACCAGAAGTGGATATTCGTCAATATTGATTATCAGCTACTTTTTGCTGGGATTGTACATACAAAACATCCTTAATCTATTTATATCTGTGGATATGTTTCGCATCGTAAATTCTCTTTATATAAGTTTGTTTCAAACAAATAAGAGCTTCGGGATTTTCCTTGAAAACAGGAGACACGACGTGAACCAATTTTAAATCTTAATTGATAACACTTGAAGACACTTGACCCTCGATCATCTATTAATTTCAATCGAAGTGTCAGGAAATTTGAAAAATATTTTTCTTAACATTCTTAAACAAACATTTTTAAATTATAACATTAATTAAAAATATACATGCTCGTTAATTCAAAATATACATAATTTTAAGATTTAAAAAGATTTAACTTTCTACGGAAAATTTTCCCAATTTTAATTAATTGCATAATTTTAATTAGATGAAAATACCTTTATATTAATAATTCACATAATATAAATTTAATTACGAAAGAGTTTTCGCATTATTGATATTAATTGATCAAGTTGCCAGAGCATAATTCGCAGAGGCGACACGCTTAGATTAGAGCACGCGTTTATGAGCTTTTAAGTGATTCTCTTCCCTCGTGTTTAACGCTCGTGAGAGATAGACGAATAAAGGGGCTGCGTCGCGATGTGAAAAATGGCTCACCATATAGTGCAGAAGAGCGCGGAGGGCGGCAGAGCTCCTCGTTTAACGCCAATCACTCTGATGCTCGGGTAACCGACGACTCTGAGATCCAAGTGGGCGCTATACAGGAAGAGCCGTCCCGGAATTGTCTCGAGCCATTTCGTGCCCGGCTCGTATGCGTTTAACGCCATTCCACGCGTTCCATTACCGTCGCACTGCTTGGTGGGCCTGTAATCGAGTGCCAATCTTCGAGCCCACGAATAAGCGACGATGCTTCTTGTGCCTGGCGGTTCACCCCCTGGAACACGCGCAAAGAATGGTGCTAAGAAGTCATTTGATCAGAATGAATGGAAGAAGAAGGAGAGAAAGAAGGGAAAGAACGATCGATATGAAAGAGTTAATTAAGAGACTCGAGGGAGAATATCGCGCTAACTCACGTTTTTGTTCAGGGTATGAATCATCCATTCGTACTAGATATTACAGAATACATTAACTAGCTCTCCTTCTCCTTTACTAACAGTATTTATCTTTGAATATATAATAAGGTGATTGACTTTTATATTTTTAAAAATCAAAATTCCGTTCTTGATTGCAATGCTCGTATTTTACAAGTGCGTGCATTTTGAATCTAACAAAGTTTTATTAATTAATAAACGTTACCGATTTGGATTCCATAAATATCGATTAATTTGAATAAAAAGGTTTGTATACAAAATAACACAAAGTATTGATAATGCAATACATTTTATTCGCGTTTAATTCCTCGTCGAAACATGTGTAATCTATCACTTAAGATCAAAGTTTTGAAACATAATTAATATTTTTCTTTTGTATGTTTTTGTTGAAATGAAGTGTTTTTGAAGAGTGTATATTTTTTTATCAAAAATGCATTGTCATTATTATCGAGCATTTTTGTAAAAAAAATATATGCTATTATAATTTTGTTAACTAACAAAATGTTATTAATTAATAAACGTTACCGATTTGGATTCCATAAATACCGATTAATTTGAATAAAAAGTTTTGTATACAAAATAACTCGAAGTATCGATAATGCAATACAATTGATTCGCGTTTAATTTTTCGTTGAAAACGTATAATGTTAAATTACAATAAAAAAAAAATAAATTTTAATTTTTTGACGATACTATTGTAAGACTTTAATATAGAAAAAAATGTCTCGAAATAAAAATAAAATAAAAATTTACAGTGAATTTAGCATGAAAGATAAATAGAATTGCAAAAACATTATCAGAAATATTTAAACATATTTATTTTTTAATATATTATTAATATTCACATCTTACTATTAACTTAATGAAATTAATTTTGCTTGTTTTGATATGACGTTCTTCATATAACTATACACAAATCCCAAAAGCGAATATAATGCATATTCATGTATCAGAGCCTCGAGCTACTTTATATTTACGAAGTTTCATTCGCCTTAACTAGTTTTGGTTGACCGTGTTTTCTTGTAAGAGCAAAAGTGCTCGTGCTCTATCGCTGATATACAGTTAACTCTATCTAGCTTATCAAAACTTTTAAGCTCCATTATATTGCATTTACTCTATCAATATAGGTTACATTTTGCTTGCTATCATTATATATCATTTTTATTATATCTTATTCTTTATACTTTATCATTTTTATAATTTCTGCAAATATAGTATTATAGCTGTGTTTTATTCAATATTAACTTTATTAAACTTTACTTAAGTCGATCTATGGCGCAGACTATAAATCGACTTGACAAGATATCGTCGATCAGACGGAAATGACGTGCGTCATGCACTAGAGACGGACGCGCTGTACTATGAATACGTTTACATTCGTTTAAAGTTCGCCATGCCTGCATCTAAAAATATTTATCTTTATTGTCAGCATATCGCGATCCTGCTTATCAGTGCCCACGCAGTCTCGTGGTAATTGCGATCTCCGCATATTTTAACGCAGCGCTCTCTCTATAGAAACATTTAAAGAGCGTAAGATAGTGAGGGAGGGAAAGAAAATTAATTGGGCGGAATCTCAATCGACATGACCGCTAATTAGACTCCCTAATGTTGATACGCCGCCTATATCCTGTATTCTATGGAGAAACTCGTTTCCCGTGCTAGTCACGGAAATCCGAGTCACGAGCCGAAGCGGACACGAGGCGAGATTTCCATTCTCTTTTCTCTGCATTAATGCATCTAATAAATATATTTATGAAATACGACAGGGGGAGGGAATGTCTGCCCCGCGGCGCGAATAAATCCACGTCGTTGATAGCTTTAAGGACTCTCGTTATGTCTCGTTCATAATTATTTCTGCGAGACAGCGGCGGTGGTGGCGACGATGAAACGAGGAAATAAAGAGAAAAGCAAGGGAAAAACGTCGCACGCGATGTCGGCGTCTGCGCACTGAGAAAAAAATCTGGCTGCATTAATTAGAGTTTTGGTAGATTCAACCAGTATGTCTATTGGAAAATAACGAACCAAAATTCTTGTAGGAATTATCAGATGAATCTGATTAATTTCTTCCTGTTAAATTTACCAAATTTTCTGGTTAATAATACTAAACTCGCCAGTACCAAGTCTTAAAATTTTTTCCATCTAATCTCAAAGTCTGTTTAATATTCTGAATTCCAACAAGATTATTGGATTAAATTCAATCTAGATTATTGAATAAATTATTTTAAATTCAGTTCGTTAGAAATTAAACTGATAAACAGTGGTGCAAGAAGAGTATGCAGCTCAAACACACACAATCAGAGAGCTAGCGTCCTCTTTCTGGCACTACTGCTCGTAAGAGAAAAAAAATATACTTTGGATTTAATGTTTATACTAGTTCTTTATATACTTTTAAGGCAAATATTGAATACGAGTTAAGTTAAGAGTGGCAAGCAAAGAAATTAATGTAACAAGAAATTTTATAGATCCAACCACAAAATACTAACCAAATCCTTATAGTAAAATCTATTAAACGTTCTAGTTATAAAAAATCGAGTCTTATCATGATAACTAAAATTCTTGTTTGATTTAACCAAAATGCCTTCAATTATTACATACGTCTTGTTGGTACAATCAAACGATTTTTCTTAGTGTGCACTGAAAAAAAAATCTGGTTGCATTAATTAGAATTCTGGTAGATTCAACCAGTATGTCTGTTAGAAAATGGACCAAAATTCTTGTAGGAATTACCAGATGAATCTGATTAATTTCTTCCTGTTCAATTTACCAAATTTTCTGGTTAATAATACTAAATTCGCCAGCACCATGTATTCTAAAATTTTGTCCATCTAATCTCAAAAGTCTGTTTAATATCCTGAATTCCAACAAGATTATTGAATAAATTCAATCTAGATTATTGAATAAATTATTTTAAATTCAGTTTGTTAGAAATTAAACTGATAAAGAGTGATGCAAGAAGAGGATGCAGTTCAAACACACACAATCAGAGATCTAGCGTCCTCTTTCGAGCACTACTGTTTGTAAGAAAAAAAATATACTGTGGATTTAATGTTAATATTAGTTCTTTATATACATTTCAAATATTGAATACGAGTTAAGTTAAGAGCAAATATTGAATACGAGTTAAGTTAAGAGTGGCTGGCTGCCTAGTGGCAAGCAAAGAAATTAATGTAACAAGAAATTTTATAGATCCAACCAGAAAATACTAACCAAATCCTTATAATAAAATCTATTAAACGTTCTAATTATAAAAAAATCGAATCTTATCATGATAACTAGAAATTCTTGTTTGATTTAACCAAAATGCCTTCAATCATATACGTCTTGTTGGTACAATCAAACGATTTTTCTCAGTAAATTTATGCACCGTGCACGTCTCGTTCGCAATTACTCGCCTTCGACATATATGGATCGCGAACGTTATCGACGAACGCCCGGAACTATTCTCTCGACATAGGTAGATAACGAGACCGGTCGATCCCGCTGATCCATCGACTCCGCGGGCGACAGGATAGATGATGATCCGTCATGGTGTTGTCGTTAAAAGTCGGCGGTTGACCCGATGAGGCCGCCGATACGATGGTGGTATTACGTGTTTGCGTGCCGCGAGTATTCTTCGTGACTCTGTGCCCTTTACCCGCAGCCCTCCCCTCGTCCGTCCGTACGTCCATCGCGGCCACGCTTCGCGAGCTTTACGAGAAGGTAAAACGCGGCTTCGCGTTTAAGAGAGAGAGAGAGGGAGAAAGAGAGAGGCATTCGTACCACGCTAGAAATACGCTAATGCACGGCGGCGTTCTCATGGAAATCGCACTGTCAGGACGAAGAGTGGATCTAGCTGGAGGTAAGCCAGCGCACGGCAAGTAAATCGTTCCGATTTTCAAAGATCCATCCGTCTATTATCTCGAAATGACGTGCTCCCGACGAGGGTGATTTTCCAGCTTGTTGAAGACGTTCCACGAGATTCGCCGCTAATTAATCGCCGTAATTAATCAAACCTGATTTCTGCGTCTGATAAAAATGCAGGGAGATAAATCTGCATTCACAATTTATATGTGGACCTTTTGATCCCCGGCCCTTTGATAACGCGAAAGACGATCTTCGTGCAGCACAGACAAATTTCAAAGGCCCGAGAGAGCCTGTCGAGCGCGTAGATGTAGCGTGCGCCCTCGGTCTGTGCCGTACAATCAGCTGTCATAATTCCTCGCGAAATGTTTGCATGGTGGAGGCGAAGGTGAAATACGCGAAAGCGCGCGAGTCGACGGGCGGTCATTCGATGAATCGCGTCATAAATTATGTCGACTAATGAAGTCGCTACTACTAAATAACAGCTCCGAGATTTACGTCTTTGGCGAGCTTTAATACGCGTCCCCCCCTCCCCCTCGCCGCTCCCCCCCCCGCGCGCGCTCCCCTAAAGCTTCGCGATATTTATTTATAACTCCGCGATGCGTTTCTTTTGCGCCCGCACGCATCCAGTGCGTTATCTTTGTATCTTTTTAGCCTCTCTCTCTTTCTCTCTCTCGTATATGAGCTGCGGAACTTGGCTTTATTTCTACGCGATGTGTAGCGTGGGTTGATTGGTATCGGCCGGCTAAGCGTAGTCTTTGTTAGTACAAGAGAAAGTGCACTGTACGTACAATTATGCGTGATGAACGCGCGTTTAAAAAAGCAATGAGCGGGAGCTCTTCCTTCTCGAGTCGACCGCGCTCGTAGCATTTTAATGCTGAGAAACTTTGCGCGACTAGGAAATAGCAGGTATAAAGTAACAAATCATCACTCGCGTGGATACTTCGCACGAGTCGATTGCGTGCGAATTTCTTTTTATATAGTGTGTACCTCGGTTTATGCGTTAACAAAGTGATTACGCGAGTTAACATTAACATTACTGTTACTTTAGGTAGATTCGTGTGTGTGTGTGTGTGTGTCTTGCATTTCTGTACGTCGCGATTGTGACGTGGAATAGAAAATGGGAATTCCTCGCTTTTGCTCTTTGTTATATAACATAATTTGTAATAGTTATAATTTTTGCCAAGGTCTCTCTGTGAAATCTTCGCGTTATAAATTGTTTCCATGTTTATATTCTTGATATACCTTGTGAATATTATTGTTTAAACCTGCAATTTTCAGTGGTTTAAGTTAAAATGCATAGAATCTCGAGATGATTGTGATTCCATTATGGAATTAATTTTAAAATAATTGTTATTTTAATTAGCTTGAATATTAAATTAAATATTAAATTAGCTTTTAATGATTAATCTCTTAAAATTTTCTGTGTATAAATTTATTACATCGAGTTATTCTGCTAACTTTAAAGATTTTTAATGGAGGATTTTTAAAAGATGAATATTTAGATTAAGATGAGAGTTTTCAATTTTACGCTGCATAATCGATTGTTAAAATCTCAAAAATTGTATGTACCTCGATTTATGCGTTAACAAAGTGATTACGCGAGTTAACATTAACATTACTGTTACTTTAGGTAGATTCGTGTGTGTGTGTGTGTGTGTGTGTGTGTCTTGCATTTCCGTACGTCGCGATTGTGACGTGGAATAGAAGATGGGAATTCCTCGCTTTTGCTCTTTGTTATATAACATAATTTGTAATAGTTACAATTTTTGCCGAGGTCTCTCTGTGAAATTTTCGCTTTTATAAATTGTTTCCATGTTTACATTCTTGATATACCTTGTGAATATTATTGTTTAAACCTGCAATTTTCAGTGGTTTAAATTAAAATGCATAGAATCTCGAGATGATTATGATTCCATTATGGAATTAATTTTAAAATAATTGTTATTTTAATTGGCTTGAATATTCTAATGATTAATCTCTTGAAATTTTCTGTGTATGAATTTAATACATCAAGTGATTCAGCCAGCTTTGATTTTTAATAGAGGGTCTTTAAAAGATGAATATTTAAGATGGGAGTTTTCAATTTTACGCTGCATAATCGATTGTTAAAATCTCAAAAATTGTATGTACCTCGGTTTATGCGTTAACAAAGTGATTGCGCGAGTTAACATTAACATTACTGTTACTTTAGCTAGATTCGTGTGTGTGTGTGTGTGTGTGTGTGTGTGTGTGTGTGTGTGTGTGTGTGTGTGTGTGTGTGTGTGTGTGTGTGTGTGTGTGTGTGTCTTGCATTTCCGTACGTCACGATTGTGACGTGGAATAGAAAATGGGAATTCCTCGCTTTTGCTCTTTGTTATTTAACATAATTTGTAATAATTATAATTTTTGCCAAAGTCTCTCTGTGAAATCTCGCGTTATAAATTGTTTCCAAGTTTATATTCGTGATATACCTTGTGAATATTATTGTTTAAACCTACAATCTTCAATGGTTTAAGTTAAAATGCATAGAATCTCGAGATGATTGTGATTCCATTATGGAATTAATTTTAAAATAACTTATATTATTATTTTAATTAGCTTGAATATTAAATTAAATATTAAATTAGCTTTTAATGATTAATCTCTTGAAATTTTCTGTGTATAAATTTATTACATCGAGTTATTCTGCTAGCTTTAAAGATTTTTAATTAGAGGGTCTTTAAAAGACGAATATTTAAGATGAAAGTTTTCAATTTTACGCTGCATAATCGATTGTTAAAATCTCATAAATTGTAATTTCAAAAATAAAATGAAACGCTTATATAAATTAAAATGTTCGTTTCGAGCTATTTAAGGATGTTTTGTATGTACAATTTCAGCAAAAAGTAGCTGAAAATTAATATTGATGAATATCCACTTTGATGTATTTTGAATATGAGAAATTGTGTGCAATATTACAATTTGATTTTAGTGCAGAGATGTATTTTTTAATATTTATTGCGTTTTTACTGAAATATTCCGAATTTTGTTAATCGAAATGATTAACTTTTGGCAGAGAATTTCGCTTTGTGACAGATACATGGCTAACTTCATTGAATCATATTTAATATCTTTTTAACTAGTTAGTACTTGTATAATATTATTTGACCAAATATGTCCTCTGTATCTAAACTTTTGCAAATTTTAAACAAATTCTGAATATTATTTCCATGTGTTTTTGTCATTTGAATCGACGTGGTTATACGTTTCCCATAAGAATACATGTTAATTCGATGCAAATTAAAATCCTCATAACTTGTGAACGCTTTAGTGAATCGATTTAAAAATTGTACTGAAGATTCTAAACATACATAAGGACATTCTGTACAATTTTCATTAAATTCCCAATATTTTGAAAATAGGTACAAAACATCCTTAAAATGAAATTTAAAATTGTCGAGCGCACAAACAACGAGTTTTTCGAATGCCTGCAAGTCTAGGCACTATTAGAATAACGGGACCGCGGATGATTTCTGTACGAGAACACTCGAGTTCAAAGGGTTAATTAGGTTTGCGAGACGTCATGTCGTGCGAAACGAGGCCGATTTGTCTCACGATTTTATCTATGCTCACGACCGATTCGCGCGGCAGCAAAAAAACCCCGTTAGATGCCGATGGATGCCGGCGGGTCTTCAGGTTGCGGTGGCGGACCGCTCGCCGATAACGAAAGGGCAAGGGTCGCGCCCTCCGCGGAGATGCCGGGGGGGTAGCAGGGGGGAGGAAAATTGCTTACCAGGCGTGGGAGGAGGGTCGGTCGGCGGATCCGGGAGTCTCGCTGGCGGCGAGTCCAACAGAGTCAGGATGCACAGAGCGGTGACCAAGATCGCGGCGAGTCCCACTCTGCATAATTTTCTCGTTCCCGCGACCGGCATGTTCTCTCTCCCTCTCTGTCTCTCTTCTTTCTTCCCTGTTATTATTTTTATCCGCGGTGGAAATCTTCATTCGCCGTGCACATTTGTCACAAGCGTAACGACGAAGCGACGTTAAACCGCGGGCAGTTTATTTCGCGAGAGTCCTCCCTGCAAATGAAGCTTGTTTCGATAATGCGTCCTAGCCGCGGCTGCATCTCGAATATAGACGTCATGCGGATCAACGCTGCGCAATCTTGACGTTTATTTCATCCCGTGGACAATTTTTCCCGACCTTTTACGCTTTTTTTCTCTCCAACAGACTCGCAGTCCGCTCGCGCGTTTGCATTTTTGTATTTATTTTTTCGCCTTCCGCGAAATTTGCCCCCTTTTTCTCTCTCCTTCCTCTCGCATTCTTTCGAAAGCAAGTTTCCTATCTCGTTTGCTCGCGGCGATTCGATTCGTGACGGAGATTTAGCCACGGTTTCCTAACGAACTAGTTGCGGCTAATTATTCGAACTGCTGGCTACTTGGCGGCACAAACTTGCTCCGGAATCAGGTTCCTCTCGTCTCCGCGGTGATCTTATTTGATCTGTCGGTCGCCTTCGTCTCGGCACGCGTTCTCGCGACGCGTCGAAGAAAGAGATCGGCGGCGCCGATCATGTCGTTCCCAGAAGATCCATTCGCCTCGCAATCAACGTATCATAATCCTCATACGAGCCATAGCTTTAAATAGTCGCGCGTAGGTTCCGGAGCAAGCGCACAAATTTGTCTCTGCCTCGTCTCGCGTGAAAAACGTCTCCCACGCGATCACGACAACGCGATCTCTCTCCTTCCTCGGCTTCGTAGGCAGACGACGACCATGTATGGTCGTCCTGCGGGGTCCGCGGCCTCGTCAATGTCTCTCTTCGCTTTCGATAATTCAATTACTCCGATTCGTTTTGCTCGATCGATCTCCGAGCGCCGAGTTCTTCTGGCCGAGCCTCCTTTTTTCGCCGCGGCTCATCCAAGCGCGAAAACTTTTGAAGATCCCGCAGGTTATCGCTCCGCGATTACACTTTTGCCGCGGCAGGAGAAGAGGCTCACGTGCGCCGCACACCGTGACCATTTCGAATTCGTTTTCGTCTCGGCCCCGCCGATTTCACGCGCGGCCACCAAAAGTGGAACGCTCGGTTAGGACCGACAGGGATATCCGCCTCCTCTTAAGGATGTTTTGTACCTATTTTTAAAATGGGAATTTAATGAAAATTGTACAGAATGTCCTTGCACAGAGAAAAATGTATACTGTATTCAAGTAAATATTATTTATTTATTTAAGTATATCATAAGTTTGTTTAATTGAATTTTGTTTTGTTTAATGAAATTTAATTGAATATATTCTGAATTTTAGTAGCGCAGTATTTTAATCGAGAATATTAAATTAAAAGAAAAATTTGGTTTAAAATAAGTTTGATTTTTCTTTGATACAACTTTACAATATTCTTGAAGAGAAAATAAATTTTTCTTTGAAGTACATGATAATGAGATTTTCTAACACTTGTGATTGAGTATATTTTCAGACTATTATCAAGAATATATTCTTTGTTGAAGAAAACTATTACTTAAAAAAAGAAAAATAAACTGAGTAATCGCTTTTCTTGGCGGTAGAATGATATTTTTCTCTGTGTACATATGTTAGAATCTTCAGTACAATTTTTTAATCGATTCACTAAAGCGTTCACAAGTTATGAGGATTTTAATTTGCATCGAATTAACATGTATTCTTATGGGAAACGTATAACTACGTCGATTTAAATGACAAAAACACATGGAAATAATATTCAGAATTTGTTTAAAATTTGCAAAAGTTTAGATACAGAGGAAATATTTGGTCAAATAATATTATACAAGTACTAACTGGTTAAAAAGATATTAAATATAATTCAATAAAGTTAGCCATGTATCTGTCACAAGGTGAAATTCTCTGCCAAAAGTTAATCATTTCGATTAACAAAATTCGGAATATTTCAGTAAAAACGCAATAAATATTAAAAAATACATCTCTGCTCTAAAATCAAATTGTAATATTGCACACAATTTCTCATACTCAAAATACACCAAAAGTGGATATTCGTCAATATCCACTTTGATTTTCAACTACTTTTTGCTGAGATTGTGCGTACAAAACATCCTTAAACGCCTCGCGCGCGGTCCGAATCGATTTCGCAGGCGTGAGAAACGCACCTCGGAATTAAATTAATCGTCACGGTATGATAGCCCCGGTGTAAAGAGCTCGCAGCCGAATCCGAGAGCGCGATCTCTCGCGAATTAATTTACGACGTCCGTTTTAAATCGTGCTGTCCGGTCGACGAGCACCGTGACTTCCTTCGGATTATCTCCTCGCGCACTTGAAAATTGAATCATCCCCAGTAAAACACATTGGGGTTGATCCGAGAAAATTGGACAACTCGATACTCGTTACTTTATCTCGATCCGCACTGACTTAGGACCGATTAATCGAACGTCGGGATTAATTTCACGATGGGAGATCCTTAACAGGACCCGTCGCGGGTGACTTTTCCTCCTTGAGAGGAACACCTGCCTTTGTACATCGTTCCTTTCTCTTCCCGTCGTCTTCTCTTCTGTTGACGCGCGAAAAAGTCACGTGTTCGCGATCGGGTCTTTTTTTCTCTCGCGGTTTCTCGCCTGTCGATGGGGTGCAGCACGTGGTCGGCGGATCGACCGACAAGTTTGGTGCAACCTGGCCTGCGCGAGAGTCGAGAGCGTACTGCGTTCGAGCGGGAGGTTAACGCGCCACCGGGGCCTCGCATCGTCGTACGACTTTGGACCCGTTGCCTTAGCATGCCTCGCCAATGCGCTTTGCCATACCCCGTCCCTACTCGCCTTTGCCTCTTACCTCGCCTCGACCTAACTCTTCTTGACTTGCTTTGACTTGCCTCTTAGCTTAGCCTTATCCCGCTCCTCCGGCTGCTCGGTCGGTCGATCGGTCGCTTGTGCTTGTGCCTCTCGTACGTTTCTGACAACGTTAGTTGAGTTTACCTTGTCGCATCCTTGTGAATCGCCTCGAGTTTCATACGCTCCTCTCCTTTCGTGTCTCCCTTCGTCCTTCTGGTCGGTTTACATTTCCGTTTTGTCGCCTCTGTACGCTTTTATCAATAGCCCCTCGCACTTGTTTTGCGGTCCTGGGATGGGTTTCTGCGGTTTTCATAATGAATCAATCGGAAATTGATATTGTATAACTAATTAAACTAATTAATAATAAATTATAATAAATTAAACCAATGAAATTTATAATAAGTTATTAAATATTTGTTTTGCGGATACTTATTAATAATGATAAATTTTCATAGTTGTAACAAGACGCAGCGATTAAACATGAACAAAATATAAAAGCAAACTTAAAGAAATTTTCATACAATTATTCTCTTTATTTCATGTGTTATTTCTGTATAATTCGTATAAACAGAAGGACGTCTGGAAAGAATTAACGCTGTCCGTCAACATTTCGCGTGCTCCTTATAATTATAGTAATTTAAAGGTAAACGTTTTCTTTGCGTTTCATTAATTTTCTTTGCGTCGAAGAATTAATTTTTCACTTGAAAAGATTGCATAAATACGTTCAGTAATCTTTGATATTTTCTTGGCTCCGACTATTTTTATTTTTAAAGACTTGATGTTTCTTTAAATAAAGATTATACATATATGATGAGGATATTATCGTATAATATAAAAAATATTTATTGATAATATTTGCATTAATTTAAGAGAAGTAAAAATCTTTTCTATCGTGTATCAAAAAATTACATAAAAAGTCTTTAAAAAATTTTTAAATCTCTCTTTGCAGTCATTCTATTTCGTGGAAATGTAGGAATTATTTTGTATTATTATAAATCGTACAGTTATTTCGCAGACGTGTAAGCTTCATATAAAAGCAGCCTTGTATAGGCGCAGTCTTTTGTAAGCTCAAGCAATCTTTTGTACAGGTGCGTAGCAGCCTCTTTTACGTGCACATCTTTATATACGTAATGGAGTTTAAAGAAGTTCGAAAATTTTTAAATGTACCATAAAGGCTCACTTATTGAACGTACGTTCACGGCAAAAGATACATGATCGACGTATAGCATCGTTAATCGTCATGTCTCGCCGTTATAGTTTGAGATCAATCAAAGTGTGTCGCTGATTAATCTCGCGGGCGCGTCTAACACCGTGCAATTTTATTGTCGGCCCAATTCTGCCGATTATTTCAACGCGTCGCGTTGTTGATCGAACAAAAGAAGGTTCGAGTCACGATCGATATCGTATTGCGAGAGCCTAATCGCACGATCTCGATGATCCTGTGCGCCGCAGCAGAACTGATCGACCAGAACAGAAGTAAACACCGTGCCTTAGTTATGGACGGTAAAATTATTCATAGATCTAATTGTACGTATAAAAAGGGGAGAAAAACTCTAGCATCGTTTATCCTAACAGTTTTTTCACGTTAGATGGAATGGACTGACTGAATTAAAATTACCAACTCCAATCAACTATTATGATAAATGTTATTACCTGAGATGTGATATGATCAAAATAAAACATTGATTTAAAAATAAGTTGACTTAAAAATACTAATTGTATGAATTGTGAGACGATATAGCAAATTAATAAACTAATTTTTTTTATTGTAGTCCAACAAATATTTTACTAATTTATTTTAATCAATTATTTCATGACCGATATTTAAATATTTCCGTTGTGCACGCAAATTTTTAATTTTAATTCGATTTTTCATATTTTTTTCTCGCTCATAAATTCCTTATATTGCTTTCAAATATTATATTAAAAATCAATGCGATTCTCTAAGAAGAGATAATTATATGACACCTGTTGCGTTAAATAAAGTTAATAAATTGGAGTTTCGTTTAAATCATCCTCTTGTATAATTTATGACGCGTCTATATGGACTTCTTAACGCGAGGATGACGATCATACAGACATAACTTACGGTGGGTTGTCGATTTTTTCAAGTCGCGCAACTTTGTTGGCCGCAAGAAAACACTGTTGCACGTTCTGCATCATTAGCTACGCCGTGCTTCGAAGTGCATCATGGTACACTGTATTATTGAGGGGAAGAAAGGACGCGTCGCGTCGAAGATCGTCATGATTTGCGGAGGAATCATCGCGTGCAACGTCCATCTCGTTTCGAGTATATTGAGCATTACGTCGCAACACGACGATATATACATGTACATCTACATTTCCGATATATGTTTTCATTTTTGACAATTATACGAAATATCCATCTTTCAAATACGTCAATGTAATACTTAAAGAGAGATTAATTATTTATATTATTACCATTAAATATATAAAGAACCGCGACATACATTTTTTTCTATATTTGATTGTACATTTAATTCATTCATTTTCAATTATTAATTATTAATGATTATATTCTTTATAGATATTTTTTAAAATATTTATTTAATTTTTATTAATATTTATTTAATATTTTTATTAATATTTATTTAATATTAAATATTTATTAAATATTTATTTAATATTTATTAAAGATGAATCTTAAATCTTCTATTTATTTTTTCATTGCGAAAGCAAACTGACTTTCAGTGAATCGAATTCTTAATTTAACAGATGATTAAATTATATCTATACGAAGATTCTTTTTTTTATTTCTATAAGTTTAAATTTTTCAACAAATACATACAATAAATATCAAAAATATCTCTTTCCAATTTTACGTATACGAAGTATCTTTACAGAATAATCAATCGCAGAATATACAGAATAAATCTAATCATTTATCCATCTAATTAAAACTCGGCTTCACATTCATCAAAGTCTCCGCCATCGAAATTCCATTCCGACAATGATGGGGCCGACCTCTGTATTAACCGCACATTGCGATGGACGAAAAAGCACGCGGTCAAATGACTGTCGAAACCCCTTCCACGGATCATTAACTTTTTGCCGATCGCACGCGTGTCGCCAGATTCGAGGCACGCAATGAGCGCACGCACACACACAATTCCCCCCTTCGCGAGTAGATTATCCCCCTAGTGGGCCCCTCGACGCGGCCGGTGGTAGATTAATTTCAGCGCGCGCGCGCGTGTGCTTTTCCCCGCTCGCCGCTCGCAAAAAAAGCCACGCTCGTATATATTACGATGGTGGTGGTACACACGGTGGATAGATAGATAGATCCCCCTTCGCCGTGATCTACAACCACGACGAAGCAAATCGCCGTCGCGCATCGAGCGGGAATACGTCCCTGAGGCTTTCCGCGCGTCCTTAACAACCGAGTGACCGAGATGTATTATATACGATCGCGTCTCCTCTCTCCTGCCTCCCTCCCCGTTTGCTCCATATCCTCCCCTTTCGTATACACCTTGGTGTACACTAGGGGGACCCAGGACGCGCGGTGAATCTCCACCAAGCGCGCGCTCTCGCACGCTTCGACTCTTATTCCTGTTCTGTCACGACCAGTCGCATCATTAGGCCATCCGGTATTACAAATGACGTTGAAGGGACTCCCCAGGCTCCTCCACCTCTTCTTTATACTCCCTGTCCTCCCTCCGTCTCTTACCTATCATCGTTCCTTCTCTCTTGTCTTCTCGTTCTCTCGCTTTTTCGAGACGCGACGAGCCTCCTCCGGCTTTTCTATCTCCAGCTGGTTGCCGAGAGTCAATCCGGCGAAACGTCGCTTTAACTGGATCGATACGAGCACCAGGCAAAAACCGGCAAGCAAGTCATAAGCATTTATGAGTTTCTTACCGGCGATAATAAGTTTGGAACGATTGCTGTTTGTATCATTGCGCGAGATGTATTGCGGCCGTACCTCTTCTTCTACGGGGCGACATTCTTGGGACGGGAGCCGCGTGTTGGGAGGGAACCCTGGTGCCGTATCCTCGTGCCTTATTTGCACCTTCTTTTTACCGATCGTTCCGTATTAACATACCGACTTTGTTTTGTGAGATTCGTCAAGTTAAGTCGAGCGCGTCTGACTCCGATCGGCTTCACCTACTGCCCGCTGCTATGATCGATGGATCGGCCGATCGAACGATCGTTTGCCACAATACGTATCGCCGCATTAGCCCTCACGTGACGTTGATCGCAGCAGGCGATGCACACGCGCTGCGATTCCTGGAAATCGTGTAACACGCGAGTGTCATAATTCAGGAGCAAAAAATGAGGAGTAAAAACGGCGCGTTCTCTCGAATACGGATGCGATTTCTTTCTCTCACGCTTTCCTTCCTCCTTTCGTGTTACACGTCACCGCTGTTAAGTAATTTCCGCAAAAAGTCCCCCTTAGCTTAGATCGTTTGGTAGCGATCACAATCGCGTCAGGAAGATTTAAATGCAATCTCCCCGCGTGCTTGGACAGTACGCGATAGTCATACAACATTGTTCAACGCGCGATCGACTTTGAGGCGCGCAAGCAGCTCACGCTTCACGGTGGTCAGGATAACGAAAGAAAAGGGGAAACGAGAAGAGAGACGAACGTGAAAGAATTTAGAAGAGAGACCGAATCGAAGAGGCGAAAATGCAGTAGCATGTGAAAGGTCAGGCAATGAAAATGAG